CAAATAAATAAATAATGTAATTTTTATCATTTTTGCAAGATTTGAAAACATCACTTTCAGATAGTTTATATCACTCACGAGTCTTGCGTCACGAATAGAGTCTTGCGTCACGAATTGAGTCTTGCGTCTTGCGTCTGCGTCAATGCGTCTCACACTAAACTAATTGCGTCACATGACTTTTAATTTTGACGACATGTATAGCTGGAACCATGAATTCACTGTGGCGAGGTTTGACTGTATGCTATATTGAAGATCATCAGCCAAATCATTAGGTCCATTCCATTAGTGTAACATTTTAACAAAAATCCTGGCACTCAAAAAATTCCCAATAAAAAAATGAATGAAGGTATTTTTTTCTTGCACTATTTTAAAAATACATAGTAATAGTAAAAGGATTTTACATCATAATTTAATATTACTTTATAATAAAACAATATTTAGCTAAAGGTAAATAAATCTTTTACAAAATAAACTTTATTAAGGCGTCATCTAATTAAATAAATTTATTTTTTATTTCATAGAGGGTAAGCATTATATTATAAGTCAACTATTACAATACAAAATAAACTTTATTAAAACATCAATCTAATTAAATAATTTTTATTTTTATTTCATAGAGCGTAAGTATTATATTATAAATTAACTTTTACAACATAATATAAACTTTACTAAACATCATCTAATTAAATAAACTTATTTTTTTATTTCATAGAGTGTAAGTATTATATTATAAATTAACTTTTACAACACAAAATAAACATTATTAAGACATCATATAATTAAATAATTTTATTTTTTATTACATTATAATAACTAGGGTGTAAGTATTATATTATAAATTAACTTTTACAACACAAAATAAACTTTAATAAAACATCATCTAATTAAGTAAATTTATTTTTCATTTCATAGTGGGTAAGTATTAAATTAACTTTTACAACACAAAATAAACTTTACTAAAACATCATCTAATTAAGTAAATTTAATTTTTATTTCATAGAGGGTATGCATTATATTATAAATTAACTTTTACAACACAAAATAAACTTTATTAAAATATCATCTAATTAATTTTATTTTTTATTTCATAGTTGGTAAGTATTATATTATAGATTAACTTTTACAACTTTATTAAAACATCATCTAATTAAATAATTTTATTTTTTTATTTCATAGTTGGTAAGTATTATATTATAAATTAACTTTTACAACAAAAATAAACTTTATAAATTTATTTTTTATTTCATTATAATAAACTAGGGAGTAAGTATTATATTATAAATTAACTTTTATAACACAAAATAAACTTTATTAAGACATCATTTAATTAAATAATTTTATTTTTTTATTCTATAGTTGGTAAGTATTATATTATAGATTAACTTTTACAACTTTATTAAAACATCATCTAATTAAATAATTTTATTTT